ATAAAAGTTTTTTGAGATAGGGTTTTTCTGTGTAGTTCTGGCTGTCCTGGTACTGGCCCTGTAGCCCATCTGCCTGCTTCTGCCTCCTGAGTGCTGGGATTAAAGGTGTGCACCACAACTGCCAGGCTCTCTAGTCCCTTTTATAAGATCAAAAATAATGTATTAAAATTCCATCTTATAGTTTTTAATTAGTGAATAATAAATATAAAAATGTCTCCATGTCCCTAAGTTGGTGACTGGGCTTCCTTGGCACTTTCCTTCCTTACAACCACCCTTGTTCAAATAGGCAGAGCTTGCTCAGCCTGTCTGTAGTTATTACTATATATTTGCAGTCTCTCTGATTCAGATGAGCACATGACTGCCCATGTGGGGAACCATGACAAAAAAGTAAAGTTGCCATTTAACTTAGTTGCAACTCTTATTGGGGCAGAAATATGAAAGTTTCTGTAATTCCTTTAGAAATCTGGATTAAGAAACTAGTTGTAAGGGATATTCAACATATTTAGACAATGAGGGTAATACAAATTGAACTATGCTGAAATCCTGTCTCATTCCAGTCAGAATGGTTAACTAGGAAACAAGCAGCAAATGCTGCTGGGTGCTTATATACCCTTCGGCAATTGGTATAAATGTAGGGAAGTCATTATGGTTACTTAAAAACCTAGAATGAGAATGACCACATGATCTAGCTCTACCACCTCTGAACACATAGGTCAGCATATAATACATACACATGAACACTCTTGTTTCTCCTAGCACTAATCACATTACACAAATTAGTTTATCAGCCCAGGTACCCATTGATGAAGGAAGAAACACAATGTGGTATAAACAAAACATGGTATTATTCAGCCAGGAAGAAAAATGTATTTGTGAGACTTGCAGAACTATGGAAAGAACTGGGGAGGTGTTAAGTGAAATGTCAGACCATAAAGACAAATACAGATATTCTCTCACATTCAAAATCCAGATGGAAAAAGACATGAATATAGAAGGTGTGGGGCGGGGTAGTTGGATATTTGGGAATCATAGAGGAAGACAGGACATGGGGGTAAAACATGATCAACATGTATGAAAATGTCATAATGAAACATATATTGTATGCAATAAAACAATTTTAAAGTGAAAAGTCATTGAACTTCTGTTACTCTTCTGGCATCCTTCCTTTGGAGAATGGCAATTTCATTCGGAGGTTTAGTTTACATTTTAAACCACAAGTGAAACACTTCAGACTCAAAGGCTTTTATTAGGTCAGGGCCATTAAGAAAGAAAAGAGCAAAGGTGAAAAGGTATTTTGAAATTAATATAAATGTTTGTGGGACATTGTGTCTTAT